AAATAGGTGTTTGTGTGTGTAGCTGTGAAGGAGAAAACAGATAGAAGCCTTGATCCTGCTTTTGTGTATACTGGCTTAAAATGCTTGTTTCCTAGTAACTTTGTCTGCAGGGCCAGAGTTAGGCTTAAATTATAGTGTAGCTATGATTTAATTTTGTAGTATGGGTGTATCAGGCACTTCCAGCTATGGGAATGTTTCTACATGGAGGCAAGTGGTCATCTTGGCTTTGTTCTTTTGAGAGAGAAGTATGAGTCTATCACAGTTTGTAATCTTATCAGTATTCCTTGTGAGATTTAGGATCTTTTTCTTATGTCTTTGTGAAATACTTGCCAGAAATATATATATATACCTCTAACAAACTTGCTCAGCCTTCTGTGTTTTGAACTTTAGATAAACTACTGGGTGAATTTCATGTGTATGCTTTTGAAGCTAGATAAATTCAAAATTTTGCACCTCAAAAATTCCAGAAATTTCAAGACCTTTTTTTGAGGGCCCTCAAGTGAGTTCAATATCCAGACAAACTTGTTGAGACACAGTATTGCAAGCAGGCTTTACGTGACCTTTTAAGAAAATTAATTGTCCTTCAGCATTTGACTCTTGCAAATGACAAAAGTGGAAGCAAATGAGCTTTCCTTAAGCTGTAGATCATACATGTGGAATGTGATGTGCTCAGCATTATTCATAAAGACATTAAAAGGAGGGTTTGTGTAATATAGTCCCTCTGTGAAGTTAACTGTGAAGACAGCCAACTCCACAAACCATAATTTTCCTATTAATTCAGGACCCACTATTATGACCTCCAAAATCAGTTTAGCTGGTCAGAAACTCTGAGCACTGTTTGTCACACAGAACAAATTGATCTGGGGACTACCACTTCAATATTTGTGATAACTTTGAAGTATCACAGGCAACAAATATGCTTTTCCCTTGGACCCCTCTGTAGATTTCAAAAGTAATAAGGACCTAATGTGAGAGAGAGGTTGTGTGGGAGGTAGCCCAAACATGTGGCATGAACTACCAGTGTAGTTAATTTTGACCCTAGCTTGCATGGTGCCCAGAGAACTTTGAACCCCTAGGAAGCCTTTATATCAAGCAAAGTGAGTAGAAATGGCAATGGTTTTGTTTGTTTTCTCCTATTTTAGACTGAAAACCCAATGTAATTTAATCCCAAAGCCATTCTACCGACCTCAAGGTTGAGGCATGGAAAGGTCAAATGACTTCCCCTGGTCAGACAGGATGCATGTGGCATAGCCACAAATAGAATCCAAAGTGCTGGTCCCCTGTCACAGCTGTAAGGCCATTCTTAGTGCATAAAAAGCTGTTCTGTTTTAAAGCCATCCAAGCATTTGCCCAAGCTGTCATTATGGCTCAACTCTGTGAAACACTGTAATGGTGGCAGAGGAAATGAACTCTAGGGTGGTTGTAGTAAAAAGCTACATGTATGTCAATTGAACTCTGATTCTGTAGTTCCCTGCTGAAATTCAGAGAAAGACAGTTCTTGGACCACATGGTGAAGTCTCTTCCCAGTGTTTCTGGGATGTTGTATTTTAGAAATAGTTCCTAATGATCTGTAGTTCTTGGCAATTCTGTTTTCTGTCTCCAGACCCAAAAGATGTTAGCACCAAGTGCCAGCCTGCAGTATTCCTATGAAGTCATTTAGTAATTAACTTTTCCTTTACAGATGGGGACAGGAAATGAAACCTCCTAGTCAGACATTCTGAAACCTATTTGTTTAAAATTAAGCAGCTATATTCATAATTAAGCAACGGAATTAAGGAGGCTCAGTTTTTAGAGCTGCTTTTGCCCTCAGCAAACAAGAACAGACTCCAGTCAAACAACTGCTGAGTGTACACTTTACACAGGCTGTTTACTATTTAAAAAAAAAATAATAAAATATTCAGGATGGAGTCTAAACTTGGTTGTATTCTTCCATATGCAATACAACACTGCTCTGTAACCTGTGGCTGCCTCTAAGTCCTATCGCCAGGCCCCTAACCACACTTTCCTGTTTATTGAAAAATACTTCCCTTGCTCTGGCTCCTTTTTTCAGCCCCAGACCAGCAGGGACTGAGCCAGTGAACTGCACAAAACCTCCCTTACCCTTTCTAGCAGCTGGCCTGAAAGCCAAGCAGAAATGGCAGGCAAAAAGTCTTGTTTTCTCTACTGAGCCTCTGTTTGCAGAAAGGTTGATGTGTGTCTTTCCAGACAGGAAATTAGGCTGTTTGTCAAAGATCATACAGGAGATCAGTGACAGAATAAGGAACAGAATTAGATTTCTTCACTTTGAAGACCTAGACTTGAACTGCAAGAGAGTTCTGACTCTGAAAGTTTATTAATAAAGAACAAACTCCTGTGTTGGAGATTGTGTGTTTCAAGAACACAAAGAAATGTCCCTGCTTGGGGATGGTCAATGGTTATCACAGAAGAAAAAGATCTGGGTCCTTATTAATGTAAACCAGTATAGCCCCACCAACAACCCCATACTGCTTATCTTTTTTCAGCATGAGTCCTGATATAGAAGTACTTAATTTGTGTGGATGTCAGAGGGAAAAGTTTCTGGTCTTTCAGATGTAATTGTCATCCTTTGCTGAGCCCTTCCCACAGAGTCTGTTTTCAGCATCTGTGCACCAGGAGCAGTGGAACTGATGTTCCTCCTGCCTTTTTGCCCCCACTGCTTTGAAAGACTAGGAGATAGGAATAAGGAAAAATATAAGGTTGGAAAAATAACTGCATACTAAAGGTGTGCTCTTTCCATGGAGGATTTTTGAACTACAGGAGGCTTGGTAAATATGTGGTATTATTCTCCTGCTATGCATCATCTTTGAAATTCTAAATGTAGAATTAACATTGTTGGGCAGTAGGCAAGTGTTTGCTATTGTGATTATGGCTTTTTAGCACCATTGGGGGGAAAAAAAGGTTTAGGAGAAAATGTTTGAATCCAACTATTGTTGTATTGTGCTAGCTCTTGAGAAACTTAAAAGCAAAGTCACTAAGTGCCTGTAATACAGGATGCTAATCAGCAAGAGTCTGAAAAATTGGATTTTTCTGTTTGTTTAATTGCATAAATTCGTTTTGAAGTTATAGTTCTGTAGATAGGCAAAGACTCTTTAAAAATCCAATTTATAACCTAACTGTCTTCTGAAGCTGTCCAAGTGTAATGTTGTTCCAGATGTTAGTGGCACTGCTCCTTGTTTATGCTATTGCTCAGCAGCTGTTAAGCTATTTGAAAAAATTACTCAGATGGGTGGTACTGGTATTTGATGCAGAATCTACCCCTGAGGGGTGTGTAATTATATAAATGCAGCCTAATAAGTATCATTTTATCAGGATTGCAAACCAAATAACATTCCTTCAGCCTGATGCAAATTACAAAGGCCAAATGTTATCATAGCCTCTTGACAGAACAAGCTGGATTGACTCCTATTACATATTTTTTTTAATCAAGAGATATAAAATTACACATTTTTTCCCCCCCCTTGCCTCTCCATCCATGAATGACAAATCTAATCCTGTTGATACAAGTGGACGTTTGTAGCTTCACTTACGTGAGTAATCCTTTCAAAATAAGCAAACTACTTTTTTGGAGGAAAGGTATGTACCTGAATACAAGCTTACAGATGTGGTTCTGCAGGCAGTGTACTCTGGAGACCCCTCTCCTGGTGTCCTCAGCGTGCTCTAATTGATGGAATTACAGGAATGCAGAGCTGGGTTCCAGAAGGAATGGCTGAATTTCAGTTTCTGAATGGAGCTAGCACTCAGAAGTGTACCAGTGAGCTCATCCATAGTAATGGGCTGGTTGTGTCCTGCTCTGTTTGTAGTGCAGCAAAGTCCAGCCAGACAATATAGCTTTAAATGATAGCAGGATTTAGCAGAATATTTGCTTTGACCATAGCAGATATTTTTGTCAGGCTGTGGCCATCTGTGTTGTGCTACAGTTTTCTCTGTGCTGTGGAATGAACACACAACTTTTGAGAACTTTTTTTCCATTCAACCTCTTTTTGCTATCTGTATTCCTATTAATGTCTTTTTTTCCTGTGTTTTTCTTCTGGTTTATATTTTCCTTCTCTCTCTCTTGTCTCTCCCTCCCACACTCTTCCTTTAGAATTTTAGAAGAAAATTCCTATGTGAAAAATTATATTCTAGTTTTAAGTCCCAGAAGTTTTTGCAACAGAAGAAAACCGAGACTGTCATTCTGTCTTGAAAACATGTCTCTTTTTATCTATAGCTCTTACAATGTGTCTTATTCTCCTGGAAAGCTTTATTTTCTTTCATCTATTACCTGTTTCTCAGGTTTCCTCTCACCAGTGGAAGACAACCACAATTGTATGTATTGTCTCTGAAATATGTTCTATATGTTTCCTGTTCTACATCCTTTGCTGCATTAAGGAAATCTGATACACTGAACATGTCTGAAAATCAGCATTCCTTGATACAAAGATAGATATATGATAGAGAGGAATAAACTCATGAACTTTCAGTTGCTGGAGAAAAGAGTCTATGATTATCTTGGCTATAATTTGAGGGGGTGTGTGTGCATGGTAATTTTACAAAAAAATGGCTTCCTGGCAATTTAATTGCACTTTTTTTGCATACATGGATGTCTGGTGCTCCTCTGATTTCTAGCAGATAAAATCCATAAAACTTGCCTCAAATAGGAACAGATTAGTAAAATATGAAACCTGACTAGAAAGAACACAAAAGTCACCCTTCAGTGAAGCTTTGTGTCTGGTCTCCAGGAAATTTATCAGTGATATTGTGCTCAGTGTTCTCTGTCACGAAATAAATGCAAGGAAAACAATACCTGAAGATTTTAATGCCTGTGACCAAAATAATCCACAAGCTTTATGTTAGCAGCTGACAGCTACAAAGTGATATAATATGTGAAACTGAGTCAATGTGTTGCAGGTTTTTTTATGACAAAGAACTTCAGGGCAGTGCTGTAAACCATTCCTCCAGTGACTATTCCATTGGTTTTCTTCCCCAGAAAGCGACTGTCCAACATGACGTTTGAAGATTTTGAGAATTACTCTTATTTCTACGACCTGCCTGAGGAAGAGGAGTCCCCCCAGTCCTCTCTCAGCATCGCCCATATGATTTCCCTCTCCTTCTACAGCGTGGCATTTCTGCTGGGAGTGCCAGGCAATGCCATTGTCATCTGGTTCATGGGCTTTAAGTGGGACAAATCTGTTTCCACGCTCTGGTTCCTCAACCTGGCCATCGCAGACTTCATTTTTGTTCTGTTCCTGCCCCTCTACATAACCTACGTGGCAATGGGCTTCCACTGGCCTTTTGGGAAGTGGCTCTGCAAAATGAACTCGTTCATTGCCTTGCTCAACATGTTTGCCAGTGTTTTCTTCCTGACCTTCATCAGCCTCGACCGCTACATCCGCCTCGTGCACCCCGTCTTCTCCTGCAAGCACCGCACCCTCAGGAACACCCTCATCCTCAGTGGGATCATCTGGATGGCAGCTGCCATCATTGGGGGGCCTGCCCTGTACTTCAGAGACACAGCTACAATTCTCAACAATGTCACCATTTGCTACAACAACTTCCACATGCATGACAGGGAGCTGATTTTGCTGACACATCACATCCTCATTTGGGTGAGGCTCGCCTTCGGTTACCTCTTTCCTCTCATCACCATGGTCATTTGCTACTCCTTGCTGATTGTCAAAGTGAAGAGGAGAACTGTACTGACTTCCAGCAGGCTTTTCTGGACCATCATTGCTGTAGTTGTAGCTTTTTTTGTTTGCTGGACACCATACCACATATTCAGCATTGTGGAGCTGTCTGCTCACCAGAATGACTACTTACATGACTTACTGCAGGATGGCATTCCCCTTTCCACTGGCCTCGGTTTCATCAACAGCTGCCTCAATCCAATCCTCTATGTTCTCATTAGCAAAAGGTTCCAGGCCCAGGTGAAGACAACAGTCTCTGAGGTGCTCAAATTGGCGCTGTGGGAGGTGAGCCGCTCGGGCACCGTCAGCGAGCAGCTGTGGAGCTCAGACAGTGCCCACACGCCTGTGCACCACTGTGAGACTGCTCAGTGACTGCTCTGCTCACCAGAACAGCTGACAGGAGGTTCTGGAGGTGTTGACTTCACGTCTGCCAGTCAGATGTGCACCTTTGCATATAGAGTTTTATGTAAACAGCTGGCTTAGTTGCACTAGCTGCTTTCCTTGAGAGGTTTTCAAAGGACACGTCGTTTGGGTGTGGTGTGCTTGCAGTGCACACACAGCCTGGACTGAAAGCTGTCAGCTTAAGTGGAATTGCTCTAATTGAGTTTTTAATCAGGAATGTTGTAATCCTGCTGCTTTGTTGTGGTTCCATACCTCATTCATATCAAAAGAGCACATAAAGTATTCTTCCTTGACATCACTGATAACACTCCTGATCAAGGCATTCTCATCCAAGAGGTCATGGCCATACATCCATGGGTCATGAGTCTCCCAGTTGTCCAGTGTTGCCTGAAGTAGGAATCACCCTGCTAAGCAAAGCTGTCCATGGCCCCACTCTGCAGCTGGAGAAGAATCCCAAGACAGAGAACACTGAATCACTGCTTTCTCCTGTCAAAGAAGAATAGGGAAATAAATTCTGTTTTCTCCCAGTGTTCTTTATCTTATACTAAGAACTAAGACAGGAGATTCTGTGTTTTCTAGTCACTTGTTCTTGTGCTTTTAGCGCCAGCTGGGTGCAAAGTTCAGAGCAGATGTTTCATGTAGGTGAAAATGTTTCTTACAGAAGTGAGATTAAAGGCCCCTGTCACACGTGTCTAGTCACTTGTTCTTGTGCTTTTAGCGCCAGCTGGGTGCAAAGTTCAGAGCAGATGTTTCATGTAAGTGTGAAGCTCATTAGAAATGTGCAAAGAATTAGTGAAAATGTTTCTTACAGGAGTGAGATTAAAGGCCCCTGACACACGTGTTCTTTTTCTGTGTTGAAACTTTCAGGCTCAAAGAGGTTTTCAACTGAGTTGCCCTTTATTGCTCTGTCAAACAAAGATAAAGAAATAACATCATAACATTTTGTTTGCCTTAATGCCAATCTCCAAAAAACGGGCAGGGTGAACTCAACGATATCCTGTTACAGGTTTGTAGCCAAATTTGGAGTTCTTTGCCAAATGAAAGGCAAGACAGTATATCCAGGAAATGGAGTCCACTCCCCTAAGAAAGATGAAGCAGTCCCAGTTATGCTGTATTCTGTTCCAGCTTGTTGCTTGCTGTAGAATCACACATGCACCAATGCAAATACACATGGCAAGAGGAGTGGACCAATTTCTGATGCAATACCACTGAATGAAAAAGTTGAATGTGGGATAAAAGTCCACTAAAAGTAAAAGCATAAAGCTTTGGGTAAATTTGAACTGTTTTTTTTCCTTGTTATTGGCCTAGGTATATAGAATATATACTATGAACTGCCTTTCAGATGATTTCTTAGTTTCTGTGGCCTGCCAACACTTCTAAGGAGCGTTTATACTGTAATTGAGGCCTTATATGTAAATATATTTGCTATTACAGAATATATATGTGCATGCATGAGCACATCCAGTATTGGTAGCTGTACAAATAGAAGCAGACTGTGTCCTGCAACTGTTTCTTTGGGCTCTGGTTTCAGAGCCTGGGGTAGTCAGGCAGGATCAGTGGCAGTTCAGTGTATTTCATTTTGGGCTGAAAGCTGGTAGGCAGCACTCTTTCTTGGAGTCAGTTGGTGCCTGGTACATAGTGACTCATCCTCCTTTGGCACGATGCTGCTGAACGTGCCCAAATCCAACACATTGCAGTTTTTCTTCCCACATTCCCTGGCATCCTTCTAAGAATGATGTATTAGTGTTACTCTGACTGTACTTCGAGTGAAGTAATAAACTTTTGTTGCTTCCAAAGACCATGTTCCTTTGCTTTTCTCAGCAGCAGCTGTCTATTCTTAGACCAGCTCTTTCCCAGAGATTTTTGGAAGATGAAAGCAAGCCCTGACCCTTCCTACTGCAGGAGTTAAGACAATAAAGAGATGGATTTTCAAATGGGGGAAGACAAGTATGCTGTCTTGCTTAAGTTATCAGAAAGCCTCCCCTGAAAGCAGGCAACAGAGATACAGAACAGAAAAAGGCCAAAGTCAGCCCTGGTCTTTGGAATTAAGTGGATTATTAATTTTGCAATGTAATTCCTACCTCATTCACACCAAGATCTGTTACAGAATTATCTCCAAAACATTTCTGCAGGAGTAGTGGAAGATACCTAAACCAACAATGTTCTAAGTTTGTTTCCAAAGAGTGTCCAAAACAATACCAGCAGTTCTACACTACTTGGATTGAGGAATGCTCCTTCAACCCACCACAATGGGAGGTGTCAGATGAAGGCCATCATCTTACCATGCTGAAAGATATTATAGAAAAACACTTCAAAAGAAATAGCTCTCTGATCAGTCATTCATTGAAGAATAATAGCCATTGACACACTTCCTCACAGGTCCTGGTTACTTTGAGCTGCTTCTTGAACAGTCAGCACTTCTGAAAGTTATGGAGATTAATTTGTAATACTTTTGCTGAAACTGTCTTCCCAGTATTCCTGTGTATCACATTTAAGTTATGGAACTTTATGCAGATCTTTCTGTTAAGGGGCACACTTGAAGAGTCTTTTACTCTAAGATACTGATTTTTCAGAGGCACAATGACAGAGTTATACCCTGAAACACTACACAAAACCCCCTGACGTAGATACATGTGGGTTCTGTGGAATTCACTTCCCTGCATGTCTATTTTTGAACTGGGGAGACTGCTCCCCAGCTTTTTTTTTGTTTGTTTCCATACAGAAAGTTTCTTTCTAATGTTGGGGGGTGGATGCCAAAAGGAGTGCCAGCAACTGAAGAGTTTACACCTACATCCTTTAGAACAAATGAAGCACATAGAAGTCCAGTCTGGCAGGTCAGATGGATGGATCATAGCACTGTATCTTAGCAAAGTCACAGTTTATAAACCAAACTATTTTATACAGTTTATAAATCTATTTCATCCACTTAGAACTTTAATTTCAAGGTTAAGAAAAGCATTTAAAGGTAAGAAGCACATTGGAACAGGAGGTCAAAAACAGTGGTGAAGGATAATTACATTTTTGTGGTATAATTATTTTTTTTTTCTGATGTGACATTTGTCAATTTCTTTAACAGCACCATGCCAGAATTGGTAGGACTAAGCTACATGATTTACCAAAGTGACAGCTAGAGAACTGCCACAACAGAACTGTGCATTAATCACACACAGGATGAATCTGGTCCATCAGGAATTTATGGAAGGTGGGAACTTTTAATTCTTTTATCATGCATTAAACATCTGGCAGGAAGTTTTTTTTTTTTTTTCCTGAGACAAATTATCAAAAAAAGCTCTTACATCATCTGAAACTGCCAGACTTTTAAAGAGAAACAGGACCTGCTGCATCAGATAACCACACAGATTCTCTGTGGGAAAAAAAAAAAAGAGAACAAAAAGTTATTTTAGCTGCTGATGTCAGGCTTCAGCCCTGAACATCTTCATCTTAGTGACCAACGTGGCACATAAAAGGCTTCCATTTCATGGCCACAAAAAAATCCTCTATCTCAGTCCACCAGGCAGCCTAGAAACATTAATTTGTCTGGAAGCTTCACAGCTTTGACAGCTTTTACATTTGTATCATTTCTATGGGTGGTTTTTGGAAAGCAGTTTGGACAGGTTCTTGAATCTTTAAAAAGAGCTGGAGCCAAGTAAACATCTCAAAACTGCTATTAATTATGCTACTTTATCTTTGCATTTTAGTTGAGCACCTCTTCTTTGTTGTTTTTAGCCTGGAGCATGCTTCAAGTTTACAAAGCAATTATCCATTGCCTTTAGCTGTGGCCTGCAGTGCTCCCCCCAGTGCAGCCATGCTGCCCAGGTAAGCCCCACCTGCCCAAACTGGGGGAGGCACAGGGCACAGGCACCTTGGAATACAAACACAGGAGCTTTCACCAACACCCTTATTTCCTGTACTAATTAAGAAGCCATGGAAAAAGTGTGAAACTCGAAGTAATTTGACTGCAAACTCCCTCTGTGAAGCAGTTTCAGCTCTCAGCAAAGCCACAGTGTATTTGGTTAGTCACCACTTATGCAAAAAATTTTCACTCCTCTTTATGAAGCTGCTTGCACCTTGCTTCTCCCTTGAAGCCATCCCTCCCTCCAGAGGAATTATTGATATTTACAAACATGCAACTTCCCTCAAAAACAAACCAAAGATCATTTCAGATTTTTAAAGCCGTTTAAATGTTTCATCTGGATTGATGGTAAATTCTCCATTTCCTCTCCTCATGCTCTTGGGTCCTACACTGGGGTGCTGGAGCATCCTTGAAGAGCACTTTTAGCTCCTACTTTACCCAATCAACCAGATTTTACATTTATGAGTGGGATTACACCATGATTTTGAATTAATAACCACAGACACAGCCCAATTTTTGCTATTACATTTATTCTAGATATATCAAGACTCAAATCTTATTGAAAGCAGCTACATCCATTGATTGTACATAATCTTCAAAAGCTGTTATTCTCTCTTCCAGCATATCTGTGCCAACTTTATCATCTTCAACAACACACTGGATCTGAAGCTTTTTGATGCCATAGCCAACAGGTACTAGCTTGGCTGAAGGAACAAAGAAAGAAACAAGCATTTAGTACTCCTGGATTGGTGGAATCTCTTAAAACCCCAGATTCAAGACTGACTGACCCAAGCAGCTTGCAGTTTCATGATTCCAACACAGGTTTTAAAAGCTTAGTCTGGCTGCTGCACCAATACACTTTTCTGACTGTGTCAGGATACTGAAGTACTGCAGGGCTTTAATTCCCACACTGTTAGCTACCCACATTATCACAGGTCAGTGAACAGTGACCACAAGTCTGCCTGTTCATACATTATCTCAGAGACCACACTGCTTCCCTCTCCCTGCTTTGAGGTGTTCTACTTACAAGACCCCCAGACCAAGCCATCTATCTGAATGCTCCGGACACACTCCTCCAGCTTGGCCATGTCCGTCTCGTCATCCCAAGGCTTCACATCAAGCAAGAGTGATGATTTGGCAATAACAGCTGGTTCTGGGGAACAAAATCACCATTAAATGCTGGGAAATTTTCAAAAAACTCATGAATATGCTACAAGTAGGTCTGCAAGAACAGCCTGTCCTATTTAATCAACAAGCACATCCTTACATAGCTGTGCTGGGCCTCTTGTATCAACACATTTCAGAAGTGTAAGCTGTGTGTACCCCAGCGTTCAAGATGGAGATACATGTGTTCTTGAGAGAGTCTAAGGAGACAGAGGAAGGAGCTAACATGTTTGTTACATAGGAAGTCCTTTTCAGAGGATCTGAGAAGGAGCTTGATGCTGTGCAACAATTTATCTTCCACAGAGGGAATACTGCAACTGCTACAGTTCTGAACAGTTCCAGGCCAGTAGCTGTGGAGGGACTTGCATATTGCAGCCTCTTCTCCAAAACAAAGATCCTTGAGTTGCCTCCATTTATACAGAGCACTCAGCCTCTGGGTAGGACAAACAAGGGGGTATTAAACAGGATAAAAGACAAGTTCTTGGTAGACATACTTTTGGACTTCTTTGATTCGTACTGGGCCAGCCGTTCTTCCCTCAGTTTCTTTGCCTCTTCACTTTCCTGAAGGAGAAACCTGAGGTTACAAAGAAGCACCAAACCCCCACAACCTTTAAAGTGTTACCAAACTGACTGGTACCAACTCAGGCAAAAACAAAGCATCACTACTGTCAGCCGAAAGATGGTGATGTTGTTTTACTCATCATGTAACCAGCCAAAGTAGATGGCTCACCCCCATTGCAAGCCATTCCTGAATTTCTACCCTCCAAACTTTGATGCTCTGCAAAGACAGCTGCATTTGAGAACTGCAAGCAGGTTCTGGTATCAAGGTCACAAATCGAAGCTGCATCCCTGGGTATTTATAAAAATCCCCAAATATAACACAAAAGAGTCACATGTACCTCCTCATCATCAGACCCAAACAGATCAATGTCATCATCATCTTTGCTGTCGGTGGCAGCACCTGTGGTGTCCTCAACATCAGCAGGACCATATTTCCCCAGAGCCTTCTTTACTCCTGGCAGGCTGAAAGAAAACAGAGCTATCAGGAACATACTCAAATGTCAATACCAAGACTGCCCCTTTGATAGTGAACCTGCAAGTGCACAGTGAAAATGCTGTGCTAAAAAAACCCCAACTAGTTCCATTAGCTGAAAACAATCTCCCCAAAGACAATCTCTAACACTTCTGACACTGAGACTAGATCCCACATTCAAAGAGTGTTCATCTAAGCCAACATGATCCTGTCCAACACTGCTGCTCCACCTACATACACAGCTAGAAAAAGCTTTCTTAGGGGAATAATCTATCTGCATTATAGTCTGTGTAGGAAGAGTGACCAACCTCTTGCTCATACTTCCCTAAAAATATTTACAGTTTGTTTAAGAACTACTAGTGACAGAAAACACAATGATGCAAAATAACTGATCCCTGTGATTCAAAAGTGTCAGTGAATGCTTTACTCTTGACAGCCAGCTCTCAACAGCACGTGAGGGAGCAGAACCCCCAAAATTAGTTCTCCTATAGCCCATGTAGCTCCACAGTCTTAGAGTAAGCTAGCAGCTCTACTGCTACTGTGAACTGCTGTTAACAGGAGCCAGGAAATTAGATTTCAGGAACAGAGTGGATTTTGTGAAGGAATTTTATTATCTCAGCCCCCTTTAGCACTCCAAGAGCTTTGGAAACAGACTGGTGACTGAGCCACCTAATTTTGCCAGAGGTCCCTCTGAACAGGACTGAGGCCCACAGGAAAGGCAGTGTAGCAGTACTGACACTACCTATGCTGTACCTTTGTAGGGAGGCCTGCAGTCTCCATGGATGGCAATACAGCACTTTTCAAGAACACTAAAATCACTAAAAAAGAAAAAAGATAAGATAGCATTTCATATTTCCCCTTCTTTACATCTGCTTCTGCATTGCAAATCACTGACTTTATCTCCCAGGACTAAAGACCTGAATGAACCACTTTCCTTATTTAGCCTCTACATACTGTATTTTCACCTTTAAAGAGGCCTGTAATGCTTTCTAATCCACTTTGGTGCTGCCTTTACAGGGTCATTACTGCTAAGGAATTTCCAGCTTTCAGCATAGTTATCTGTGTAAATGCCAGTAACTAAATTCAAGCTTTTCTTATAAACTTCGGTAGAAATATCATCAACTAAACACAGAGGGAATTCGGTTACTTAGATACTAAGTGAGAAATGTCCTATAGAAGAGGCCTGCTCTGTTTTGAAAGCTCTCCTTGTTCCAACGGCACCCCAAAAAGCCACATGGTACCAGTGAAAACCACTGTGTAGTTCAAACACCAAAAAATACTCAGTAGAGCAGCTCACGCGTATACTCCACTCTCCCATTTAACCATACCTTGCTTTTTGCTTTTCGTACGACTTAATGTGATTGTACCACCGAAGCGCATGACACAACTCCGCAGGAGGTGGGGAAGCGACGGCTTCGAAGACTACTATATCAGCCTGGGAAGGGACGTACCTGCGTGTAGTTCAAACACCAAAAAATACTCAGTAGAGCAGCTCACGCGTATACTCCACTCTCCCATTTAACCATACCTTGCTTTTTGCTTTTCGTACGACTTAATGTGATTGTACCACCGAAGCGCATGACACAACTCCGCAGGAGGTGGGGAAGCGACGGCTTCGAAGACTACTATATCAGCCGGGGAAGGGACGTACCTGCGCAAAACAAGCCGCAGTTAGCTCCTTTTCTCAGTGTTTAGCAGCGCCCGCCAGGCTACTGCTGGGCCCCGCGGCTGTTGAGACGCACGCGTGGCGCAGGCCCGGCCCCCGCCC